TTTGATGATTTGCTGAAGATGAACCAAGCCCGGATGCGCGTATTATATCCCTCCAACGACCGGCGCTACCTCGCCGGCACCGTCATCCTTGTATGACACAACACAACCGATCCTGCACCGGCGCAGCTCTGTTTCTCCTTCGATGGCTGAAGTCGAGCTATTCGTCCGCGGGCATAGAATGTTGTGCGTTGATATCGATTGAGACTTCTTGGAGGAAGAAGAGAGGACGCGTCCCGGCTTGAAAGGTTTTGTCACTGCGGAAGATGGGAAGTGGTTGTATTGATTCGAGTTTATTGATGGATTGTCCCTCTGCTGCAGGACTGTAAAACTCATAGATGGAGATGGGAGATATCGATGGCTCCAACATCCCTGCACTTCGGCAGACCGCCGCCGCCTTTGTGAGTCAACAGTATGCAACAGTCACAGTTACCATGGAGAACAATCCAAGTCATCTTTCCATTAGAGTTGCGGATTAGAATGCAGCTGATGTAAGAGAAAAAGATGCTGCGGCTGGCTCGAGCCGCTGATGACTCGTACCTATTGTCGAACCATATAAACGTCTTCTCTATCGGGCACGTTGTTCATTACACCGACAGACTGTCAAACGAAAATGTCCTCCAACGACACGTTCAACAAGCTCATAACCGTGCTCGCCGTCTCAGGTAGCGCCTACCTCGCGGGTCCGTCCCCTCCACCTCCCGAGATCACCGTACCGACCACTAACTCCCCACAGGCTTCACGTCCTCCATCACATTCCTCACCGTTCCCATCCTACCTCTCTCCGGTCCGCGCCTCGCCACACGCCAATGGGCAGGAGTGTACGACCGCGGTTCTCGCCTCGGGCCTCCGATGGGCCTCGTCTTCCTCTCCCTGTTCGCTTATGCCGCATGGGCGAACGGGGTTCTCGAGCGCTCGCCGAAGGGTGTGACGCTGGCCGTGGCTGGCTTGTGCGCAGCGGCAAATATGCCCTGGATACTGATGGCGATGCTCCCTACGAACTCGGAGCTCTTGGCTCTGGCTGCTGAGCCTGAGCCGAAGGAGGGTGGGAGAGTGGGAGAGAAGGACGAGAAGAGGAAACGGGAGGAGGTGGATAGGTTGATTAGCAAGTGGGGATGGTTGAATGCCGTTAGGAGCGTGGGGCTCACTCTGGGCGCGTTGATAGGCGGCGCTGCAGCGGTGGAGTTGTTATAGTTCTGAGTGGGGAGTTCATTCAGCTGTCGTATTATGTGTTGCGATTATCTTCGAACTGTAATGTATCAGATTGGATGAGAAAACAGACGGTGTTCGACCTTGATGGTTGTTTACTCTGAGTGTCTATTCCGTCGTTGAGGAGTATATAAGGTCGGAACTGCGCCGGAGTAGAAGCGTTCCCATTCGACAATGTCGGCGAGGCAATCCCCGATGTTCCCACATATAAAGGGACATCATCCAAGTAGGTTGATCTCCAACGAACCCGAGCCAGATACCAAAACCTGATTCAGCGCTATACTGAACACCTATCCCAAACCAAAACAACGATCATAACGAGCATCATGACTGATTTCATCCCCATCTTGCAAGTCGTCGTCTTCGCTGGCGCTGCCTGGCTGTCCGGTACGTTTTGTCCCGCTCATTTCGGCATACAAAACCAATCTCATCCGCACAGGGTATATAACAACTTTCTCCGTTGCGATCCCGCATATTGCGCTCGCCCCGCCGCTCATCGCCGCTAAACAGTGGGAGGACTTCTACGACCGAGGCAAGCTCAGCGCGCCTCCTTTCGGACTCGTCCTGGGGAGTCTCTTTGGGTACCTCTCCTACTCCCTTGGCGGGCTCTCCAGCTCGCAAGGGAGAGTATATGCCCTCGCAGGGGTAGTGACGGCGTCCACTATCCCCTACACATTGATCGTCATGCTTTCAACGAACAAGAAGCTGCAGGCTTACGCGGCGAAAGATGCCTTGTCGAAGGAGGAGAAGGAGGCCAAGGTCGCGACCCAGGAAGTTGGGAAGCTGCTGAGCGCTTGGGGCGCGTTTAATGCCGTTAGGGCTATGATGCCTGCTACAGGGGCACTGTTGGCAGGGTGGGCACTGATGCGCTGGTGAGGATGTTTATGTACGATAGAAACGGGTTGCCAATATAGCTATAGCCTTGCAAAGAGATCCAGATGACGTTTCATGTATTATTCGCCGTTCGTGATGGAATCGGGCGTAGCGCTGAGATGTAGAAGACGAGATCGTGTTTCGGCCAGCCCATTCTTGTGAGAAACTGACAATGAGGAGACGGAAGATGGGCGCGCATCCCTCAATAATGGCAGAACTAGAATCGCCAGGACCACGGAAGACGCAGGAGTTATTGTCAGAAATAAAGCCCACATGTCTGGTTAATGTTGTTCCCAGAGTACTGCTGCTGTAGGCAGGGCTAAGTTCGCGGTTCACATTCAGACCAGAGCCTTGATGACGGACAAGCACCCTTGCTGGCCCAGATCTACAGTTGACTATATACGCATATGGTGTTCGCAGTGACGAAACCAATGAACTTGAAGAGGCGGTCATTTGGCTATTCGAGTATCTGCAAGTCGACAGTTCATTCTATTCAGGAGCTCATATGTGGGACTTGCGAAAGGTAGACGTTAGAAAGAGGTTGCAGAACAGCCGAGCAACAACTTTTAGGGTTCACGTGCACCGAAGAGATGAACCCTGACAGGGGAAGTCCGAAATCGGGTCTGTTGCAAGTTCGCGCATCTCCACGTCGACGGTCACGTCGAGTGACACCCACTCTCGAGTGACACCCACTCTCGAGTGACACCCACTCTCTGGCTCAACCCTCCCACACCAGCATATCGGCCATGGTGTCCAGCGCTGTTCAGATATCTGCAGAGCATGTTCTACAAAGTGAGATCACTAGCGTGATCAGCGCGATGCGCAAGAACTCACGTTGGGCGGCTTATGCGAGAGCACAACGGTTCGAGCGCGACCACCGGTCGGGCAGAGGCTACAGGATCCCACACGAAGTTGCACTGTTCACGGCATTTGGAAAGTTGAGGAAGGAGGTCAAGGATGCGGATGGTACGTTCAAATAGCTTGCATCGATGATAGAACGCTGAAAGAGTGATGAAAGACGTCATGGAGATGCCTCTCCCGCAGATCCTAGCACCCTTCCTGGCCGTGTTGAACGCCTCTTCCTGCCCATCAACTATCACGCTCGCAACTATGACATCCCTTCACAACATACTGAAGTCACCTCTCATGGGTCCGAGTACCGCTTCGCTTCCTCAGGCGCTCACCACCCTGTCCACCGCACTTGCAAAGCTCCGGTTTGAACCGAGCGACACTACGACAGACGAGCTCCTAATGCTAAAACAGCTGGACCTGATCTATGAAGTGTTTTCGAATGATATTGGGAGCAAGCTTGGGAACCCTGAGGCATGCGAGCTGCTCGAGTGTGTCCTCAGCATGTGCTACAGAACGAAGTTCACTGGTGCGTCATCCAGCTGCATATATGCTCAAGAGCGACGGAATAGCTGATGCATATGTGATTACGCAGAGATGCTCAGACGGGCAGCAGAATATACAATGCACCGTCTGATCCGGCTTGTCTTCGTCAAGCTCGCTAGCATGGACCCGGAAGTCGAGGAGCAGGAGCTCGAGCGGGAAGAAGCAGAGTTCAAGCTCGCATCTGGTGTTGCTGCGCCTGCTGTCACCGTAGGAGGTGAGGCGATGAGCCTCTCCGGCTCGGGAAGCATGGACGATATTGCCATGGTGGCCAACACGGACACACCATTGGAGAAAGTGGATGCGGCGAGCGCCGGGCTGGAGGAACCGTCGACGAATGGCAGTGAGGAGGTACCGGAGGTGAAACCACGCGCTTCGACACCGACGGGCGCTACACCCAACACGCCATACAGCCTCATCACGCATCAGTCACTAATCGTTGCACTGATCTCTTTGCTTTCCCCGCATCCACCATCACCGCCCAACCGAACTCTCGTGACGTTGTCTCTCTTCCACACTCTGCTTCTCTCTTCCCCGCATATATCAGCATTCCCCGCTCTTCTCACCCCCCTGCTGGACAACGGATGTCGGAATCTCTTCTGGCTAGTCAGGAGCGATCACCCCGGTGTACAAACTCTGGCGCTCAAGGCCGTCTCCGCTCTTTTGGAGATATTTCACGGCTCGCAGACCGGTGCATACCAGCGCGAGCTGTTCCTCACACACTGTTTGGACCGGCTACAGCCTCCGCCGCCACAGCAAGGGCAAGCGAACCTCACGCAGTCACCAGATCAGAATTCACGCTCGTCCTCCCCTGCACCGGCTGCACAAGTCCGTCCCCCTGGCTGGCTTGCAAAAGGCGACACTCGCCTCTTGCTCCTCTCAGCCCTTGCACAACTCGCCAATAGTCCCAGCTACTTTGTGGAAGTCTTCGTGAATTGCGATTGCGACGCCGGCAGCGAGGACATGTTCGAGAAACTGATCACCTTCCTATGCACGGAAATCACACGAGGAGAGGTCGAGGGCTCGGAGGGAAGGGAGATGTGCACGGACATCCTGCTTGGGTACGTTGCAGGTTTGAACGGAAGGAGCGAGGGAGAGGCCCAGCCCTGGCCTGACACCTACACCGCACCCTCGGATCTGCTGGAAGCCCAATCTCGCAAGCGCCAGCTCAGAGCCGGTTCAACACTGTTCAACCAGAAGCCCAAGCTAGGGCTCGCATTCTTTGAAGAAAACGGATTCATCTACACAGACCCTAGCGAACCGAAGCCTCTCAGTCTCGCGAAATTCTTAAAGACGTGTCAAAGGCTGGATAAACGGGTGCTGGGTGAGTATCTCGGTGCACTAGGGAACGAGGAGATATTACAGGCGTTCTTGGGCCTATTTGCGTACGAAGGGGTGAGCTTGCAGAACCTGATTGTGCACATTTGTACCTACTGTTTGGCCAGAAAGTCATATCAGAGGCCTTGCGCGACATACTGGAGACTTTCCGTCTCCCTGGAGAGGCGCAGCCAATCTCGCGGGTTACTGAGGCGTTCGCAAAGGAATATCGAGCTAAGGGAAAGAGTACGTATTCATCGAAGGGTGCAAATACTTGAAGCTAATCTCATGCGCTCAGCTGAAATCAAGAGCGACGATGCTGCATTTGTGCTTGCGTACTCAGTGATCATGCTGAATACGGATCTGCACAACCCTCAGAACAGCAAGAAACGTATGACCCTTGAGGAGTATGGTCGTAATCTACGCGGAGTAAATGAAGGCGAAAACTTCACCCCAGAATTCATCTCCAACATCTATGACAGCATCAAAAAGCAGGAGATTATCATGCCTGAAGAGCACATCGGACAAGTTGGTTTCGACTACGCATGGAGAGAGCTCATGATTCGATCGAAGAACAGAGGTCCTCTCATGACGACCAATTCAAAAGCATTCGACGATCACCTTTTCTCGGCCTCGTGGAAGCCGGTAGTTGGTGCCGTCGTACATGCCTTCATCACCGTGGAGGACGACAACCTAGTTCAGCGTCTAATTGCATCGCTCCGCCACCTTACTTCTCTGGCAGCAAAGTTTGACAAGCCAAAAGTCTTCGATTACATCGTTTCTCTTCTAGCAGATGCCACGGGGTTGATCAAGACCGAAAATACGCGAGAGGGTGAGGAGCCAAAGAGCAATGGCGGCAACTATCCCTTGGTTCAGGTTGATGATGTCAAGGTCACGGTGTCGCCCCTATCTATTCAGTTTGGAAAGAATTTCAAGGGTCAGTTGGCTGCTGTTGTCATCTTTTCTCTGCTGTCATCACACGTCGACTTGTTGAGAGAGAATTGGGTCCAGGTATGTGGATGATCTACATTGTCGCACGTCATTCCAACCTCGAGCATAGATATTCGAGATTCTGAAGAGCTTGTTTCTCGCGTCTTCACTTCCTCGGGCTCTGCTTGAAATGGAAGACTTTCTTTCGGGTGACACTGTGATTCCTTTGAAAGGGTCGTCCCCTCCTGCAGAAGAAGAGCATCGAAGCAACGAAGGGGGGTTGCTGTCGACATTGTCTGCCTACTTGCTCACCCCCTACGGGGCTTCGTCTGAAACCGTGGCCTCGCAACCCACTCAGGAAGATGTCGAGAACACCATGTCCGCTGTCGATACACTGGATACGTGCAATATGGAGAAGGTGTATGCAGCTATCATGTACGTCAACTATAGATCCTAAGAGAAATCTAACTAACTGGACAAAGGAAACTTTCCGATGACCCATTGCTTGCTGTGCTTCGCGCCATTCGAACGACCGCTGATCGCACCACCATCGATAAGCTCAACACGAAGACACCGAGCAGGCAGAGTCAGCTGCCGTATGACCCGACGTCATTATTCTTCCTGGAAATCATGGTCAGCATCGTATTGAAGACCCGCCAGCAGATTAGCGAAACATGGGAGATCGTGTTTGAGTACATCTCCGTGATTCTCTCCCACTCGGACAAGTTCAGCATCCTCTTGGTAGAGCGTACTGTTGTTGCATTGCTCAAATTATGCAATGTTGTAGCAGAAGAGGTGTGTGCTTCATAACTCTCCTGTGTATTGTCCTGACAGATGTTAGCCAAAACTCCACGACCAACTCTATGTGGCTTTCGACTTGCTGGGAGCATTGACGCCCGTAGTCAAAGTTGCCGTCGGAGAACAGCTCATGATCGGCCTAGACAAAGTCATCCGTGAGCATCGATCAGTTATTCGTTCGCAGACCGAGTGGCGTGTAGTGCTTTCCCTCCTTCGGCCCCTTGTCATCCACGCAGACGCTGCCAGGATCGCCTTCGATACGGTTGAAAGCATTGTCACTAACGAGCAAGACGACGTTGTCACGATAGACAACTACGGAGTTCTCCTGGTCACACTGCAAGATTTCACCAATGCGGCTGGCCAAGCAGTGGCGGGAAGACAACAACACCTTCGACGACTATCTGCGGCCGAGGGTGCTGCCTTAGATGCGGCAGTCCCAAGAGGGACCCGGGCAATCGAACTAATGTTCGATATGAAGAAGTTTGTCCCTCAACTGGTTCACCATGGCCCAGGAGACGAACCTGTGCCGGAGAGCGAAGTCTGGGAGACGTTGTGGCTGCCGCTGCTCACAGCACTACAGAACCAGGCGCTGAATACGAGCCGAGATGTACGACACACCGCGATCGGGCACCTGCAACGACTCCTACTTTTACCTCAAATGTCCGACACACTTCCAGACACTGCAACCCTCTTCGAGAAAGCCGTTTTCCCGCTGACGAAGGAGCTGCTCAAACCCCAGGTCTACCTTCGTGACCCGCACGGGATGTCGGAGACGCGCATGCGCGCTGCGGGGTTGCTCTGCAAGACGTTCCTCCACTATAGCATCAAGCTGCACGAAGAGGGACACTCAATCGACAAGCTGTGGGTGGATGTGCTAGACTACCTGGACAAATTCATGAACAGCGGGAAGCACGATCAATTGGTGAGATTTCTTCCGTCTCTGATTTGTGATACACTGACCAATCATGTTGTCTTCTGTAGTACGAAGCTGTCCCGGAATCCCTGAAGAATGTCGTCCTAGTCCTGCACGCTTCCAACGTTCTGGTCCCACCTTGGGAACAACAAAACGCCCATGCTCAGCAGCTGTGGGTCACCACTCAGCAGCGCATGGATCGCTTCCTTCCGAGCTTCTTAGAGGAACTCATCCCCCCGCCGCCGCCAGTCCCACAGCCGGTACATCACACTCCTGACCACGGGCATGGACCTGCCCCGGCGTAGCGTGATTGAGCTCATTGGAGCAGACAAAATGGCAACTCGTGATTTATAGCATACTTGCATTGTTAATACCCGCAGTCCATGTGTACCATGTGTACGATACCAATCTTGACACGTTGAGATCCAGCGAAGATCTAGTACGTGTGCGAGCTTGGACGAAGCTGGGCTGTCTGACATATCCATCGTTCCGGGAAATCATGAATCATACATGGGGCGCGAGGTATTTTTAGGTGCCTGAAAAGGCTGTCGCGGCGAGTGGGATGTCGTCTAGGGATTTGACTCTGCTTCCCGGTTTCTCCGAATTTGAGATTGAGCTTTACTCAGCATCTTGCTGAGAAGCAGAGAGTCGTGAGACTTTCCTGCAACTTTGGTCACGTGCAAGGGGCACTAGACACAGTAAGCGCCCGTCAGCAGGGACATATCAACTCTACTGCGCACTGTTTGCTCAAGTCAAGGTTCAATGCCGGCATCCAACTCTCAGCTCTCGTCACTTTCACGTACTTTTGAGGTACACTTGGCCGAAGGGATGCCGAGGCTGAGGTACATGGGAATGGGAACCGTTGAACTCCGCCGGCGGCTGAGGTCAAACTGGTGCTTAGAGCGCACAAAGTTAGACCGATTCGCATCCGACTCACTGCTGGTCCTTGACTTTGCTGCACCTCTCTGCTGCAACCCATCTGCTGGTATTTAAATCAAGATCTGGACGACCATCATCGATCAGCCCACTCGATAAGACTGGCAGAAACGCGCTAGTCTTATCTCTACCCACGCGCCAAGACGGCATTCTTCGCTTTCATTGTACCGACGCGCCGGTCGAAGGCACATTCCACCGTGTTCACATCCAAACTTGGCAAGCTCTATTGAGAGGCCTGGACACTAACCACGGCGTCAGCATCCGAAGGGGCTATAGGAACGAGATGGATCCACGGAGCGGCGCACGGCGCGTCGGCCTGGGCAGCCCACGACTTGAGTTAGGCATTGTCACTCCCTCCTCTTCTCCTTCTGCACCACCACGGAGGCGTGCGCATTACCACCTTTACAGACCGAAGGACACGCTGGCTCTCACCATACCTTTCACGTCGATCTCTCTGTCCCTATCCCTCAACAACGCGTTTTCTGATCGACCGCGTGCACCCCAGCCCTTCCCGGAACTCTCAACAGGGATGCTATCTCCAAGACCACCAGCGATCGCTTTCTTCTCCCCTCGCGGGAGCCGACATTACCCACGCTCGTACCACTCCCGCTCCCGCTCGCACTCGAGCACACGTACACGCATCCCCGCATTCTATCTCCAAACTTATTACGCACTCCTCTCCTTCTGGCGACGCACACGGCTCGCGCGAACGCTCCTCATCAGCGCTGGTATACTCCTCCTCTTCTTCCGCATTCTTACCACTCCCCCTTCACCTCCAAAGAGCCATTATCAGCCCTCGCGCATCCCCGTTCTCCCGATACCTCTCGATGCCAACCCGAGTGGGCTAGGCGCACGCGGTCCCCTCGAACCTCACACGTACCTGCCAAGCGGACTCGTGGTTGTCAATCCCCAAGGCCGGCACCCCATCTATGAGCTTATCGAACGCGCACAGAGGGAATGGGAGGAGAAGACCTCAAGGGCAAGCAAGACGCTAGCCCAGGCAGCGAAGGAGTACCAGCGGAGATATGGTAGGTGGCCTCCGAGGGGTTTCGACAAGTGGTAAGCCCCTCCTTCGTATGTTTGGTATCAGGTGCTGATGTACTCAAGGTGGGCATACGTCGAGCGTCATAATGTTCAGCTTCCGGACGAGTACGACCAGATCCTTGCCGATCTCGCACCGTACTACGCGTACTCTCCGCGCGAGCTCCGCCAGCTTCTCTCTATTTCCCCCCAGTCTGCCTCAGACAACAACAGCACGTTCACACTCTCCTCTTCACGTCTCCATTCGACGCTCCAGATTGCGCGCGCACCTTCGCCGCTTGCCAAAGAACAGGCCGAGTCTGCGCTAGATCTTCTGACGGGAGATGGGGAGAGCTGGATGCCCGATCCAGGGTATGTGGACAAGGAAGAGTGGGAGGCTAGTATGCAGGGTATCGGTGTGGGGAGCGTAGAGGTTGACCTCATGGGAGATGCGGGAAGCTGGGAAGCCGTCTTCACAGCGCAGAGAGAGCCTAAGGTGGTTGTGAGTCAGGAATGGGAGGAGGAGAGGAGGAAGGCGATCAAAAGCGAACGATGTGAGTCAATTTACCATTCCTTGAACGAGCCGTGCTGACGAAAACAGTCATGCGTTTGACGGGCCGCTATGCGACATCTTTCTCTACCGATACGTCCTGGCCTGAGGCTTGCCCTGCCACCGCAGAGCTACATACCGGAAATCCTGAGAATCAACCCAAGCCCAAATCATTCGTCTACTCCCCACTGCTCGCCTCTTCCCCCTGTTCCAACCCTTCACTTATTGCTCACTCTCCCTTCCTTAACCGTACCGCCCACGCCAACATGTCCCAGAACGACCCACACACGCCCCTCTTCAGCACCTGCAAGGCCTCCCAGGTACACGGAGATATCCTGGTACCTGACGGCAGCCACTGGGTGTATTCTGCGCCGAAGGACGTGCCCTGGAAACGGAAAAAAGAATCACGCCTGATCTGGCGTGGCCGGCCGTCAGGAGAAGTCCTCGCCTCTGTTGCCTCCAAGTCCAAATCCTCTAAAGGGCATAATCACAAGATCAAGCGCGCCGCTACCCTCGATCCGTCATCTCTCCGCACTGGGCTTGCGGCTGCACCCCCGGTACCGAAGAAGGATCAGGTGCTCCTCCCCTCTCACCCGAGCGAGGTGGTCGGCGAGCCTGTGAAGAGACTCTCGAGCTGGCTTGAGCGGGAGATGGTAGATGGGCCGTTTCCCGGTTGGGAGGTCCAGAAGCTTGAAGTACCTACGGTGGTGGAGGAGACGAAGAAGGGAAAGAAGGACGATTGGAGAGTGCTCGCTAAAGTCGTCCATGGCAAGGTCGTGTATGTTAACGAGACGGAGGCACTCGCTATACAAGCGAACACGACTAGCGACCAGAACATGACAAGCACTAAAAAGCCGCCCGCGTACAACACCACTGCGCTGGAGATCCCCACTGAATGGGCGCTGCTGGAACGCAATAACCAGTATAAGTATATGCTTGATGTAAGTGTTCTTGAACTCGTCTTACAGGCCAGTCGGCTGATACACTCATGTGCAGATCGACGATCAATCCTGCTCTCCGTCTTTCCGTCACCTCCTAGCCACAGGCGCCCTGGTGCTCAAAACCACGGCTTTCGAAGAATGGTACGGCGAGCGTATCCAGCCCTGGTTGCACTACGTACCCGTGCAGCTCGACCTTTCTGACCTGTACGACGTGCTCAGCTTTTTCAGGGGAGACGTGGCGAACGGGGGCGAGGGAGAGCACGACGAGCTCGCGCAGGAGATCGCGGGTGCTGGGAAGGACTGGGCGGGCAGGTACTGGAGGAGAGAGGATATGACGGCGTATATCGTGCGTTGGTCGTTTGTACACCGTCTGATGGCTCTGGCTGATGCTATGGGACAGTATCGACTTTTCCTCGAGTATGGCAGGCTTATGTCCGACGACAGAGACAAGATGAACTTCTACATGACGCCCTGAGTGAAGGGCGCTGTCGTTCCTCCCTGCCTATTTCCCTTCCGCAGTTCTTCAGATCTCACAGAGCTGCTCTATACTCACATGAACGTATCAATAATCTAGACTTCTGTCGTATTCCATCTTTCGTACCCCATAACCTGCCCTTTGATGTACCACGAAATAGTCCTATAATCGATCTTGCCTGCTTATTAGAAATAATGTAACCGTCTGTTCGTTTTAAACCACGCTGAAGGGAACAGAATGCAATCCAGTAAAGAGGTAAAGAGCAGGCTTTCTTCTGCTGTGCGTTGACTCTGAACAATCTTTATTCTTCAAATCCGAACTTCCTATGTTTATCCTATAGAGGGACTTGGAATCTTGATACGAACATAGTATTCATTCAGCAGAACTTGATGTCTATGATCCCGAGACAAGGGAGTGGCTGACCAAAGTCGATCGAGACAGGCCGTTCGATGACGTAGTACTACGACCTCCAGAAGGCTACACGATCTCCATTCCTGCCCGGAGATCTCATGGGGTATAATAAGTAGATCACAAACAGCGCCCCGTTCGCTTGTGCTTCCTCGCTTTCCTTCCCTCTGCCTTCAACTTCAGGCTCATATAGCCCGCCCAGCTCCTAACCCCTTTCGACGAGCAACATGAAATCGGAACAGGAAGTGATCGCCGAGTTTAACCGTACGCCTCTTTCCGCAGATCCATAAAGCGAGCTGAGACAGCAGATAGAATACGTCAACATGTCCGCGTCCGAACTGGAGGAATGGCTCCACACTGAGTCGGCTACGGGTGCGGGGTGGAGGGCTGACGAGTCAGGGGAGACGGTGGGGCATGAGAGGTGCGCCTGTGTTTGTCGTTAGAAGCTGATGCTGAGTATACTATGCGCGTGTAGTGGGCGTAAGATCGTCGATATCCTTAAGCGGAACCCTTCTAAGACTGTAGAAAAGTATACCGAGGTACGGGCTGTCTACCACTCTATCTGAAATGTGTCTGCTCTCTTGTGTTCTGTGGCGCTGATGAGATGTCGGAATAGGACGATATCGCCCATATGCGCAAGGTCGTGTCCTACTGCAAGCGCCACCTAGCGCAAGAAGAGAAGCTAAAGGAGAGCAAGAGTGCACAAGAGCTGGCAGATACGAAGAGCACTAGGTCGCTTAAGGTGCGTGCCATGGTTGAGGTTTGGGAATGCGCTGATAGGGAGAATAGAATTGGGGACATGATCGTGAGTGCCTGCGAGGATGGGTTTGATTGTGCTCATCGGAGGTTTGATAGCTTTGAAGACTTTGTGATCGTCGTGTCGGGCATGGTTTCATATAGAGGAGCAGTCACCTCACTGACACTTTCATAATGTCTGCATGTGCTATAGAAGATATGGTGGATAAAGAATTGCATGAATGAAACTGGTTCAGGGCGTCATATGAAGCGGAGGCTGAGTCAATTTGAACATGCTTCTGTTTCCGTTTTAGATGTGTTACGCGTCGTCTGTTCATCGCGCCTTAAGGGACGTCGTAAGCGCATACATCTACCCTTGCACATCGTTCTCCTCCTCTTCACTCTACAAAATGTCTAGATCTTATGACAGAGGTGAGCAGTATTGAACGATGAGGTAGATGATGCTAACGGGCTTGGGCAGCGCTCACCGTCTTCTCCCCCGATGGACACTTGTTCCAGGTAAGGACGCGTCATCAGTCTGTGCGCATACACTCACCCAGAGCAGGTAGAATACGCCGCCGAAGCCGTGCGCAAGGGTACATGTGCCGTGCGTCTCCTTCTCCACTTTATCCGTTTTACCAGACTTACATCCTCGTCGACAGGTCGGCGTAAGAGGGAAAGACGTCGTCGTCCTCGGCGTGGAGAAGAAGTCGGTGCTCCAACTGCAAGACCCGCGTACAGTGCGCAAAGTCGTCATGCTGGACGACCATGTCTGCCTCGCTTTTGCCGGTTGGCCATTTCTCCGCTCCGATGATAGCTAGGTGTTGACCGCCTGGCAGGGCTGACAGCAGACGGGAGAGTCCTGATCGACAAAGCGAGGATAGAGTGTCAGAGCCATAGGCTGACGGTGGAAGACCCCGTCAGTATCGAGTATATCACGCGGCACATCGCGGGTATACAGCAGGTGCGTCCGCGTTTCCTTGCTCTGCGTGGTGTTCGGGCTAACGCAGCCTGCAGCGTTACACACAGTCGGGCGGTGTGCGCCCGTTTGGTATCTCCACGCTTATCGTCGGATTCGACCCTCAGGGCGCGCAGCCCAAGCTGTACATGACTGAGCCTTCTGGTATCTACAGCGCTTGGAAGGCGAACGCAATTGGCCGATCGAGCAAGACTGTGCGGGAGTTCCTAGAGAAGAATCATAAGGACGACATGAGCCGTGACGAGACTATCAAGCTGACCATCAAAAGTCTGCTAGAAGTCGTCCAGACAGGAGCGAAGAACATCGAGATAAGCGTCATGGAGGGGTTTAACAAGATCAGCAGCTTGGACCTGGCACAGATCGAGGCAATCGTTGCAGAGATCGAGAGGGAGAAAGAACAGGAAGCGGAGAGGAAGAGGACGAGGTTGGCGGCTACGGCTGCTAGTCAGGCGGCGATGTCTGCTGCTGCTTCGGGGCCGGAGGTACCACCACCTGAGGCGTGATGTATGATGTTATCAATGGCATACTTTCTATTCACAAAACGGTTGGCGAGACGTTCTTGCCGTCGTCGTCGTGTCATAACAGTACAGTAAGTGGCTCGGAGTCGTGACCGCCAACATCGCGGGCCGACAGCGGCGCGGCCGGTCGGCTGTATAGCGTGCCACGTGCATCTCCTTGTTCTATGTTCCTTCGTCGTCGTCGTCGTCGTCGTCGTCCCTCTTTCTTTCCTTCTGGCTGAATGTCGGGAGATGTCTCCTCCCTCACACCGAGCAATCCGAAGCCAGCGAAGAGCGAGTCCACCAGAATCGGTCACGTCGCCAGTGCCGTCTCAGGCCATGGACTGGGAGGGGCGATGGCGCGCACCGCGACTCGTGTTGCAGCGCTATACCTCTCCAGGCCAGTCCGGTTGTTCAGACCGCAGAAAAGTGCGTCTTTCTCCTAGTGAAGGAAGGACGTCCGCTAATGAGAGTCAGTGAGCCCGTGGACGACGTTACGCGGCTTAGCGGAGCAGCAGGGAACAGACTTCTCCCCCAGGTTCGTGGTGAACATCTTTCGCACACAAGGAGTACGTCCTCTTCAATATGCGCATATACCTACTCATCAGCTGGTGTCATAGTGGCATATCTTCCTACATCATTTCCTCCCCCCAATCTTTGTCAACACCACCATGGGCACAGTCCTCTTCTCCTCCTACACGTTTGCCCACTCGGTGCTCTCCTCCCGCCCTCAGCTCAAGGAACACAGTACTGCCGTCGCTGCGCTCGCAGGAGCGGGAGCGGGCGCTGCGCACGGACTGGTAGGTGCGCCTCTGGACAACGTTGCGCGCTATTTAGCGGGGGACAAGAGCTGGCGCCAAGCGTGGGGTGAAGCGTTCCACCTCTCCCCCCCTCCGCCGGCGTCAACCGCTCGCAACCCAGTACAAGCCAGCGCCCCGCACCCGACGAGCCAGTACCCACCACCAACACTCACCGAAGCCAGGGAAGCGAAACAATGGCTGTGGGAATGGCGGCATATGGCCGGGCGGGGCTGGACGGGCTGGCGCTGGGGGTGCGCAAAGGACGTGACTGGCTTCACGGGGTTCTTTGCGCTGTTTGACGTTAGCCGGCGGGGGGCGAACTACTTGGCTAGGGAGCTGACGCCGGAGGGGTATGAGAGTAGGAATGGGCGCCGGCCGGTCCTGGCGAGGGCTGCACATGGGCTTGCGCTTGTTGGAGGCGGCGTCCTTGGGGGGTTGGTGTATGAGTTGGCTGCTAGACCTTGGGATGCCATGCGTGCTCTGTGGGTGTTGAGCAAGGCCCATGCTGGAGAGAAGACGTTGCTCGAGGTGGGAATGATGGGACTGAGGGACAAGGGCGTGTTGTGGTTCTTTAGAGCGCCGAGGAGGTCGATGATTGAGCAGAGGGGAAGATGGTATTGGAGAGTGTTGCCGACGTTGGGCAGAGTGGGACCTTGGGGAGTTGCATTCCTCGTTTGGGAGGGAATTGGAGGGACAGTCATAGGCGATGTATAGATGGGATATCTTCATTGTTAGATGTTGGTCTGTTTATTTTGGAATTATCAGTTGCTCTCTGGATGACTATTTGTAAACAGTGCCTCGAACAGCCCTATCATTAATAGGTCGGTCTGTCATTTTCCGATATCAATTGCTCTGGAGATGATATCTTACCAACAGTGCCTCCCGCAGCAAGAACGAATTTTCAACCATCATCAAAATAGAAGCACAGAACCACGCCGAATAAAGCCATCAGCCCACAAAGAAGGCAAGAAGCATTGATAATCACATATCATGTGCTCTTCGGCGTCTATCATATTTTCTCTTCTCAACAACACCTCCTCGAACACATATGCGATAAGCGCTGTCTGGCTGGGTACTAAAGAGACCACGTACTGAGATTGAACGTCAACAACTGACATGGACCTTCCTCCCCTCGGCCTCCTCCTCGTCGGCAACGTCACCGCTTGGGCTCTCTGGGGTGTGTCTACACCTGACCATGAACTGTATTGCAGCCTACTAACTGCCGTTACAGGATTCTACACCTGCCTATTTTTCGTCTCTCTCTATGTTCTCTTCTTCAAAAAAGCAGGCGCTAGGAACTGGCCCCTCATCAGCGCGTCCATTGCCATATTCATCCTCACCACAGCCCAGGTCATCCTCCTCACTGTCAGGCTCTACATCCTCGTAATCGAAACCCCGATCGCCCAGGCTTCGTGGGAGGTCATCACGTCTACCGGGCCGCCGGTGTACGGAGCCGCGATCGTTCTGGAGACGGTGACGATGCTTATCGCTGATGCTGTCCTGGTAGGCAGCTCTTTTTCTTCAACGAGGGCGGCTCACGCTGCATATGATAGATATGGCGATTCTGGGCCGTATATGACCGGAGGTGGCTCGTCATCCTCCCCAGCATCGCTCTCTGGCTAGCAACATTAGGCACAACGATCTACATGCTCTACCTCGACCTGGGCATAGTGATCGCTGCCGAATCCACGGGGGATCCTCTTCCTCCCCCACAGGCAGTGTTCATCCCCTCCCAGCATCCCCTCGAGAACTGGACGATGGTCGTGGAGAGCCTCACGCTTGCCCAAAACTTCTTCTCGACGTTCTTTATCGCCGTTCGGCTCTGGGCTGCAGACCGCTTTTCGACGACGTCCAAGCTGGCAAGCCTTACCCCTGTCCTGTGGATCGTCGTCGAGTCGGGAGCGCTGTATACGGGGCTCTGGGTAGTGGAGATCGCCACTAGTGCGATGTTTAACCTCCCTGGGCTGCTGGCGACTAGCCAACTGGTGAGCCGGGCGTATCCGCCTTCGGGCACGAGCTAACCCGCACACAGGTCACTCCTATCGTTGTGCGTATGCGTACTTCACGCCATCCATGACACGACTGATCTTCCCAGGGCGTGACTTTCTCACTCATCATCGTCCGCGTCGGCCTGGGCTTGACGTACGACGTCCCTACACACCAGAGCGATGACACGGTGATGACTACCGCCCTGCACGTGTCTACGATCCAGGACGTCGATGTCGAGGCGGACGCGTCTGGGGAGGAGACGGAGGACGTTTCCCGCGGAGAGGAGAGCTTGCGTATGCAGATTTTTGGCATTCAGAGTTTGGGGAGCAGCGAGAATAGCAAGATGGAGGTATGTAGCGGGATGAGCGCGAGTCTTGCGGACAAGTGAGGAAGACGCGTTGGAGGACTGGGCCTGTGGATAACTCTGGCCGTCAATTGCCTTTGGACGGCCAGCTTGGCAAAGGGAATGGTCTATGTTCCAGAGCTGCAGAGGTTATTTTGATCGCAACGGTGTCCGAGGGTTGGCTCTTCGTCGTCGGTGGTGGTCGGGGAGGCAGCGATCGTCGAGAAGGGTGAAAAGGGCAGACTCGGAAGTTCAGAGGACAATAAGCACATAATGTACAATTAGGCATAACTGATCATTAACAAAAGGCGCACATTTCCGCTCTAGTCCGTTTCATTTTCATGACCAGCATCTCTACTTGCCTTCCACAGGCTTGACTGTCTGCTCTGCCTCTGCCGCCTTCTCGGGCTCCAAAACCGTCACGCCAGAGATCTGCGCCGCCTTCTTCTCCGCCCTCTCAGCCTCTCTCGTCCAGCTCCTCACGCCAGGCATCGCCCACATCTGATACAAGTGCGACGCGTATCCCAGCCCTTCGCCCAGGACGGCGCCGCCCAGGATGAGGTGGATGCGAGGGGCGCGTTTCCAGAGGATGGCGGATGTCGTGAGTGAGCCGAGGAAGGCACCAATGAAAGAGTAGTCTTGCGCTCTCAGGCGGGTAGCCTAGAATGGTGTGTGCATAAGATGACATGCATTATGCAGGATAGAATAAGGTAGAGCGTCAGGAAGGAGACGCACATCATGTCCCACTGCCCAGGCGCTCTGGCCAACCTCGAGCGAGCTCAGCCCTCTCAACCTCCACAGTTCCCACCCCCCGCCAAGGAGCGCCGCCCCTGCCGCTCCCGCCCATTCCGCTCTCAGGAAACGGGATACCGTGAGTGGCTTGCGCCGATAGAGAGCTGTGACTATGTACAGCGGGGGGAGGACGAGGGATGCGATTTGGGAGCATTGGAGGGCGCGGGTGCGGGCGAGGTAGGAGCTGTCGACTGAAAGCGAGGCGGAGGTCGACGTGAAGGAAGGAGGCGTCGCCATCGTCGTCGTGCTGGACGGAGAGGGCAGCGAGAGAGGATTGAGGGAGGTCGAGGAGGAGAGAGATGCCGGAGAGTTGTCGCGTTGGTACGGCACCCCCTTGACGTCACTCTTCACTTTCCTGACTTGCCACCCCCTTCTGTTGTTACGCATCTACATATTACTTTCCAATATCCTAACAGCACTCTCTACTCAAGGATATAAACTGCGAAGCTGCGGTCAAAGAAGTGCACAGGTAGAACATATCAGTCCATTAATTCAACCCCATCTCAAGTGTATTCCTGGATGCAATCTAGTCCTTTTGCCAACGACCGTATGTTTGGAGGGGAAATTCCGGTTGTGCACTTAGCACAATGTATTACGGGCGTCGTCTTTCCAGCCTAACCGGTACAGAAGAAGGACCCAAGGTCACAGCGAGCTGCACGTTATCTTCCAATACTCGTTTCCGCCATCCTTGAAGCGTTTCCCCTGGTCTCATCTCTCCAGGAAAGACCTGCCATTCCTTGAGGAACATGGCAAGGAAGCATACGGACTCGTAAAGCGCGAATCGCCGACCGAGACAGGTGTGGATCCCAAGCCCAAATTGCATCGTGTCCGCGGACAAAGGGCCATTGGTCCACCGGGAGGGAAGATACGAATACGGAGAGGGCCAGAGGGAATCATCCCAGCCTGTGAAATGCGTTCACTCATGTAACATCCGGATAAAGATACGTCAACGCACCAGCCGAAATATAGTCGCCAGTGAAGATGGTACCTTTTTCTATTGCCAGCGGGTGCGGTAAACCGGGTATATTCAGTGTTGTATCTTCTGTTGCTTGGCGGAAAAGCAGAGAGGCCACCGCTACATTGTGTTAGCGTAACCGGAAACAATCATGGAAAACAAGCTAAAACGCACGGTACAATCGCAATGCCTCCATGAGTGCGTTCCGCAATGGGACCAGCGCGTCAAAGTCTTCAAAGGCCGGGACACGATCGTGGGGAATGACCTCCTGCACCAATTTGTATAAGCTATCCTGCTCCTCGGGATGACAAGCCAACAGTCCGAGGGTGATACTGAGACCTTTGCTGCCCGTCTCGTGCCCCGCAAGGAGCATAAGGAAAGTATTTGAGAGTATCTCATCGTCAGTGAGGGCCTGCGATGGCGTTTCCGCATCGGATGCAGCGAGTAAGCGGCCAAAGATGTCCTTTTCTTCTGCTCTGTTCACCTGCCGTTTAGATGCTGCACGACGTGCGGAAAACTTGTTTCGCATCGTCGTAGTGATTATATCGCTTGCCTTCTGGATGTTCTGGAGACTATATCACGGGTTAGGATCGGATGAAGAGATGAATCGGGAGACGTGTACCTCTTAATTGGAAGGGAGAACAACCATTGAGGGAGCACTCCTTTCATGATGAAGTTGCGGGAAAGGACGTCAAACGCACGGTGCAATGACATCGTTTCGTCTGCATCTTCAGCTTCCTTCGTATGCACGTCGACATCGAAGCCAACTTTAGCAATCACAGCGAGGGTGATCTTTGGAGACGCATTAGAAACTGAACGATAAAACTGAAGAGAGACAGACGTACAAAAGAAGTGACCTCGTTGATAAGATCCGGCAGGACTATGGTGTTTTGTTTCTCCCAATTGCCGGCTTCACGTATCGCATCGTACACGAGAATTGTTTCTTTCCATACTCGGTGATATCTGTGTAAGTTATGGGCATGTTCACCCCACGATTGTGCCATCAGGAGACGCACAGATCCTCAGTGAACACTGGAGCTATGATACGCTTATGCCTCATGTAACCTGTGTCCATCCGACCTGATCCAACATTGTAGCATTCGCGTGGAAAACTGTCGAATTTGATCATTTAGAGTATCGCAACATGATTGATTGACGCTGCTTACTTTTGGGCCAGAGCAACAATAGGAACTCTATCCCAGGCGCCCTTGGAAAAGGCAACTTGATTCAAGACTTCTGGATCGATGGATGCGATCGTCTTTCCCTTATTGAAGAATCCCACAAAGGCAAACGTTCTATGAGGATTATTCTTGTACACTGAGGTTTGTTCTCAACCCCAAGTTACCCGTGTAATGAACAAATACTTACAAGCGCCTCTTTCTAGCCAGTAGAAGTGGGTGTCCGAAGGATTCCATGATGGCGCCGTCGGAAGAACCATTGCAGGCATCCAAAACGGGGTAAACATGCTCTTGTATACGGGTAATGGCGCGAATGCCTAAGTCAGGATGAGCCAAACCGCTCATAGTCAGAAAAGCGCGTCGGGACCAACATTGATCGCCGCAGTGAACCTCCGGTAACAGTTCAGCAAGAAGATGGTTAGAAGTGCAGCAAAGACCAGGACAAAGTCAGCTGGGCGGAAAGCCATGGTGCTTTTTCCGTGTCCAAGAGAGACGGAGAAAGACAGGAAGGAAGACGTGGTCCCAGAATCGCAGCAGTCTCATTCTTGACGGCTCGGGCACCCCTTGATCAAAGAAGTTCACAAGCACAGGAAGACGGCCAGGGTCCAGTCAACCTTCTTCCGCTTAGTCAGCTGCGCGTCTACCAGATATGTCGGCGATAACGTGGGATAACGTGAGAGCATTGGGAGACAACGAACTACATATTCCCAGGTTGATACAAACGATTTTATACAAGAGCCACACAGCAGCATCGGAGGTTATTGTGCCTTCCACGACTTCTCCGAGTTTTGCCGCGTCTCTGGACTAATGCCCTCCTCGTCAGCTGAGGCGGCATCGTCTCTGGGTCTCCCTCTTTCTGTATTATCGGTGGGATCGCCGAATGTAACATCAACAAAGCCAGAACTCATGGATTCACCAGCTGATGCCGCTGGGGTTCCTTCTGATGCTAGACCTAGACCGACTCGGACGGTGATAAGAGAGAATGTAATGCCCTAGAACAAGAAGTTTGAGTGAGACCCATTACATGACTTACGCCGGCTCACGATTATTGGGGAGATCTGGTAGCAAAGAAATAGCTTATTATATGAAGAGAAAGATATTGTGAATGTTGCTCACCAGTTGTGTCACAAAAAGCACCGCCCAGTTCAGCAAAGAGCTGACCACGATGTTTGCCAACAGCAGGGATGTGTAAATGGCACCAGATTCCACCACGATTAGGACGATGGGCATCAGCTTCCCTCGTTGCATGGTTGTTGCCCTATGGTCCAATGCCCATAGTCGGAGGGCAATAAGACAAGTCGCGATAACGTTTTGCGAGAATGTAAGCGCTTGAGTAGCAATCGCCCAGTTGTTCAGGACGTAGAGCGCAGCCGCGTGGGTAACACTTTCTACCACATACGCTTCTAACTGGATCACTCGAATGCTACAAGCTAGAAGATAATCAGCGAATGATCGGCTGGTACGGGAGCTTGACTTGCCGAGCGTTGCAAGCCACAGAAGCGTGTTGAAAGCAATTATGCTGCGGCGTCGACCCCAGACGGCCCACACCCTGTACAACTGGATTCCTGTTAATTGACAACCGAGAAAAATTCCATTGATCATCCAACATACTAGTACGACGTCAGCCACAAGCATGTTCGTTAGCTGAGCGGCGTCCTGGAATGCGTATGTCCAGTCCCCACCGCCAGCAAAGTGTTGATCCCGTTGCAACGCCGTTGTAGTGTCGAAGAAGCCAATAAGGAGCGAATTGCTCTCAATGATGATGTCAATTGTTGAAAAAAGAAATATTGCAATAGTTGCCGTGATGAGGAAAATGTTCCGTCTCCTATGGGTGGATCGAAAACAAAGAATATACATCGATACGTTGAAAAGACCGAAATAGAGTCCTAGTCCATCCGAATTAGATATGAAGCCTTTGACGAGGGATGAGATGCACCGTATAATCCCCATGCACTAAGGCCGCCAAAGAATGTCATGTAGGCAGTACCCACTACAGTGGAGGGGGCCATATTGAGTGCAAAGAGCGGAGGGAGATGTCGTTAAGCAGCGGAGAGCACATAATACGACAACTCCTGGTATATATGTGGAGCCAGGAGCCAGATGCCGAGCGATGATTCCTGGTTGAGGCTGGTTGAAAGGATGCTTGCCATATAAATAGAAACGGGATTTCTGGACGACGTGAACATCCCGAAACTATCCGCGACGGTTGCATCCCGCAGGCTAGAGGCGGTGATAGGGCAATACAAATTGTCTGATGGACAGCCATCGTGGTGGACAACACTTACCCCACGTCTCCAGACATCAGCGATTGTGGTGAAGGCTTCTCAACAGCAAGAGACTTCGCGAAGCACCGTATCCACAGCAGCCTTGGAGACCGTCGGCATTACGTCATCAGGATCTGAAGATGATCGAACAAGAAGCCCTTGAGGGAATTATCTTATCCCCGCGCTGGACATGTACAATCAAAATCAGTTCACTCTCAATGTGACCGTTCATCGCCTGTGCCATGTCTGGAATCAACTTGTCCATGCTGAAGACTCTGCTAGTGGCATTAATCATTGCTCACATTCTGTTTGGACGGATACGATCATATCGAACAGCGAGAAAGGTTAGTCTCAAGATACTCTGACGAGAAAGTAGAATCCTGATACACTTTCTAAGGCCGTTGGTTCACTGCCAGTTGTCCTATACCCATTTGCACCATTCAAGCTCCCAGGCATATTCTTCCCCTCTTCCTGGTGGAATCCTGGCTTGCTAAACACCTGGCACCAACGCGGACTTCGTAAGTCACTTTCGTCGTTCAAGAAACTGCAATGCGAACTAAATGCGCTGCAGTCTACCTTCGAAACAAGTCCAAGACATTTGCCGCTATAGGCTGGCTGGATGGAAACTATGTTATTTTTTCCTCGTCCTTTGAGGTGATTTCCCAAGTCAGCGGACCAAAGGCGCGGTGGGACCGGACGAAGAAGACGGGGGAGATTCAAAAGTGCGCTTTGTGCTCTCAAGGAGGGCAGCCGCTGAACTGTTGGTGGGGAAAGTATCCCTCGAGGAGCGTTCAATGTCGCCACAGCGCAGATGGACACCTATCCTAGGCATAGGAGGATCGTTGGGCCTGCGTTCAACAACCAGTTGTAAGCCAATCTCGGACTTCGCAGATCTGAGAATACTGATCCAGAAGAAAGAAATCGCCGTGTATGGGAAGAGTCTCTGGCTGTTTGGGATGAGATGAGCATTGAAGAAGGATGGGAGGGGACGAAGACTGTGCATATTCCTGATGTCAAGACGAGCACGGGAAAGGCAAGCTTGCTTTCCATCATTCTGTTCCTCCACTAACCAAATCCAAGTTCACTCTCAGCATCATCGGCCGTGCCGGGTTCGGGATCTCCGGAGAGGCTGACACTCGTAAGGTCGTAGGGGAGGATGGGATGAGCCTTCGCGAGGCGTTCCGAATCACCGGGGAGAATCCCATGGTACGAACGATGTTACCCAGCTGGGTCTTCCGTCTTCCAATTCAGAAGTGAGTATGGCATGCCGAATCGAGATATGCGTTGACAGAGATTGGTAGGTTCAAGGAGGTCAAGGCTGCGGAGAAGTTGCTGCTGCGGACGATGCACGCGCAGATTGATGACCGTCGTACGCGGGAGGGGAGCGCAGCTGCGTCAGAGAGGGACCAGGAGGGGAATGGTGACATCTTCCACCATCTGCTTGCTGCGAACGCGCGGGAAGTCCCGGAAAAGGCTCTGAGCGATGCGGAGCTGTTAAGCAACGTGTTCATCCTCTTGTTCGCCGGGCACGGTACACGCCACACTTTACCGTGTGTGCATTTCCCTAATGAGATGTTTCCGCCGTAGAGACGACTGTGCGTGTGTTGGCATATGCAGTCGGGTTGCTGGCTTGTCATCCGGAGGAACAGGAGCGTCTCGCTGCGTTCGTGCGGGAGACGTGCCCAGAAGACAAGGTTGCGAACGTCAGTTCTCTCCTCTTCGCCCATTGGCGGCGTTAACTGGGAGATACAGATGTGGGACCGGATGGATGAGCTGCGCCCAGTGTACGACTGCATCATAGAGACTCTGAGGCTATTCCGTACGTCCATTCATACCTCTTCCGCCCTCCCCTCCAGCTGACCTCGCCACAGCGGTCGCCCCAGTAGTCCTACGCCGCTCCACCGAGGATAGCGTGCTCCAAATCCCAGGGTTAGCAGATGCAATCCCCCTACCTAAGGGTACCCTCTTTGTAGGCGACCTCATTGGGATATCGTACGATCCGGACGCATACGTCTCGCCACACACATTCTTGCCCTCTCGTTGGGCAGGAAAAAATCTCATCTCTACGGATCTGGCTCCCTTTGGTCATGGCATACATATGTGCTTAGGAAGATACTTCGCCATGACAGAGATGATGGCATTCTTGTGCATGTTGCTGAACAGATGGGAGATCGTGCCTGTGAAGCGGGGGGGAGAAAGCTTAAGAGACTGGAAAGAGAGGGTGCTTGACCGGTCTGTACGGATGCGTATTGTCCTGGGACCTGGGGATATACCTATAAGGCTGGAGAAACGTATATAATGGCCATTTACTACTGTATTTCTAGTTCAATGTTAAAAGCGATGTCGTGTGCCAACACGAAACATGTCACGCAGAAGTGCATCTTCTCCGCAAGTTTTTCCGCAGTGCGGGATCGCACCGCCTCTCTGGGCACAGATATCCTTGGCAGCCGACCGTGTCGCAACACAAGCCAACCATTGAAATCACTCTCACGAACCTACTGCATCCTGCACGTCTTTTCTTCCTGCTTTTATACGCATACTGTTACGACTCTATCTGCTTAAATTGAAATTACTCTTACAATAAACACACGATGCCGAAAGGATGGTTCAACCTCGAAGCAGCGCAGGATAGGTTGCAGCTTGAGCCCGTGTGTCCTTCCCGCCATCTTATCTCCAGCTTGGTTCTCATTCCCATTGCAGGAACCAGATCCGGCATTTGAATTCCTCCAGCTGTCACGCATACAGCGATTTTACTGCTTTGGAGGATGGTAAGGGCTCTGACTATCTGTCTGTGGATGGAGAGGGGGAAAGAGGCTGACAAGTCGCGTAGCTTGGCGATCGGCTTTGTTCTATCTCTCCTGGGGTCGATCTTGCTCTTCTTAGGCCAGCTATGGACATTTGCCTGTGAGTTCCATCAAGTGACAGGAAGTGCGGGTGCTCATTGGCTCGGACAGTGCTGTATACTATCGGCATAGTGATCACCTTAATTGGGACTGGGTTCCTCATCGGAGTGTGTACTCTTACATGCCTCTTACTTTCCGTGACTAAGTCCTTCCCAGTTCCTCCGTCAAGCGAAGCTGGTATGCCTTCTCACCTGTTGCAGTAAGGAATAAGAGGAGTGGCGCTGACCGGTCAAATAGATGTTCGCGCCTGTCCGCATTGTCGCCACTATAGTGTTCCTGGCTTGTATTGTGCTCACATTCATCGCGGCATTCGTGATTCACAGCCAGGTGCGTCTCTGTCCTCCGATCCTTCCTGCGGCCTTCTCACGCACATCATGTAGCTCATGGCCATCATCCTCGTCATCGTCGAGTATCTCGCGTACACGTGGTAAGTTCCCCTCCCCTGTCCAGACACTATGAAGGCTGACCGACCCGGGATAGGTACTGCCTGTCATATATCCCCTACGCACGGCAACTGGTCAAGAACGCCATCGGCCTGTGAGAAAAGGACTTCGGCGGGTTCCGGAAAGTCTCGGCATTGCATGGAATGGTATTTACGCTTACGATTGCGATTGCTCTGCTTGTAACATATGGGACGGATGATATACGACATTGTTCCGTTGTGGATTGTCTAAGTGGTTAAAGTGCTGACTTTGGATGATGTCGTCAGTTGAAAATGAATGAATAATGGGACCCTGACAACTTTTTCATAAACTTGTACTGTGTTCTTCATCCTACCTTTCTCCCACAACACTACAAATCCTACCCTTGACAACGACAGCGCTTCATCCCCGCCGTCGTAGGCTGTGTCATGTCGAGCCCATCCACCTCCTCGCCGCCAGAGCAGGCCAAATGCCCAGTGGACCATAACACGCGCGCTGCCTGGCTAGCCCAGCACACCTCCGGAACCCATCCTACTTCCTCGCCTCACCCATCCTCTCTCCCAACAGAGCGCGAAACCTCCTCCATTCCACGAACTGACACCGACTCGAACTGGGTCTACCCGAGCCAATCCCAGTTCTACTCCGCCATGTCGAGGAAACACTCGCAAGGCGCTTACGCCTCCCCACCAGATGCGGGGGACATGCCTGTCGTAGTGCCTATCCATAATGCGGTGAATGAGCGGGCATGGGGGGAGGTTCTTGCCTGGGAACGAGGGAGGGGAGGGGAAGTATGCGGAGGGGTGAAGCTGCATTCGTTCAAAGGCAAACCGAGGGAGAAAACCTGGAGAGCATGGGGAAGGGTCATGCTAGGGCACGTCTGGTCTTTACCTGATCACGCAAGCTGACTGTGGTGCAGGTATCAGGCGCCGTTTGACCGACATGACTGGATTGTGGACCGGTGTGGACACCAGATCCGGTATATTATCGACTTCTACGCTGGGCGCCCTACGCCTACACCTTCATCCGGGGCACAAGGTACTGCTGGTGCTCCACATCCGATGAAAGACGCAAATGGCCAGGTATCGTTCTTTTTGGATGTGAGGCCAGCGCCGGATACGTGGGAAGGGGTGAGTATGCAGGCGGGGAGGATGTGGGCGGGACTATGGGGTCGGTAGCTGGAATGGAGGTTCGCCAGCTGCACGTGAGAGACCGTGAAGCTGAGGAGAACTTGATGGATCAAAAGAGTGGAGGCAGGAATGTAAAGGTGCATCTTGTAACTGTGTCCCTGGAGGTTGGACTAATATCGGCGCACTTCTCACCCGTATATGTTCACATAATAGCTTTGTGAAAGCGCTCATACAGAACGTGACGGAAGGTGAGGGGGATCCACAAATAAACGATCTTTTCTCGTGCGCGACGCAGTTCCTTTCATTCGTTGTTAGGGGCCGATCCAGCCTCCGAACAATTGAACACAGCGTTCAATCTACTTGAACTGGTCAGAATTGCACGGCCAATCGCTCGCTCTCACAATTTGGTCTCTCAAACTGATTGCGACGTAGTTCGGCAGAGCCTACGTTCCAATCATACTCGGCTATCAAAGTCGGACGACTCTCGTTTCCCGGATTATTTCTCCTCCTTTGTCTCTTCCCGTTTGTCATGTCTCCTGGGTTTCCCGGCAACCGAACCTTTGGTCCAATCCGTAAACTCGTCATCATGAGACTTCTTACGACCCTGTCTGATTGGCTGTCCTGATATTCCTTCTGGAAGACACTGGGCTCGCAAGAGGTAGGGTCAACCAGGCCCTCAAACGCTGGAATGTCACACTTCCGTCCCTTAGGTCATGGGTCAGCAAGAGGGCCTGAACTCCTATTATTCAGTACAGGTGCTTCAAGTGCTGAAAGTCATGCTGAGAGAGCAGAGGGTACTGAGCATATGGATTCCTAATACTACAAAATATAATATGTACCAGAAAAAAGTGTTCCACTTCTCTAGAGCAAGAAGTGTAATTGTAAGTAATGCATATATGACTACCTAATTGAGATCCATGGCCTTGTCCAAGTCCACCAACTCTAACATGGTCTCATTTGAGTCCAAGAGCACGCTCTCCTCTTTTGCTGGTGCATGTGGTGCTACTGGTGCATATGGCAAACTCTCCATGTTGTCATGTAACCAGTGACAGAACTGTGGCATCTCTGCATCAGTCATGGACATCTGGTCAACACCCTGCATGACTGCCATTATCTGGGCTAGCACCCACAACCCACAATCATGGCCATTCTGTTGTTCCAGGACCTAGATCATATTTAACAATATTCTCTGCCCTGGGGGGGTGAACACACATACTGAGGCCATGTGTGCTTCCCAGCCTACCCATAAGCACCCAGGCTGGTCCTGGGAAGATTCCTCAGTGATTGCCATCACCATACACTTTATCATCTGCATGTCTAATCAGTACTGGCTATGTGAGATAAACATGAGGATGCACCATAACAGCCAACCTCCAATGGTGACACAGTGAGTCATATATAATGATGCAGCATTCAACAAAGTCCACACACCCCAGAACCCAGTGATACACCATGTGGAGGGGGAATAGCCACTCTGAATGTTCCCAGCATGCTTCTATATTGAACACTTTTCAGTGGAGTTTCTTAGCAACATGCTTTTCCATCCACTTTGTCCTCAAGTATGTGTCAAAGTCAGGCCACACATAAGAGGAGAAGACTTTGCAACTAAAAGCCTCTCCATTCTTCTTGCTGGGGGGGGGGGCTTGGTGGGAACTGTGGGGTTGGAAGCAGGCCAACCTTGTTGGAACAGTGCAACTGTGTGGCTGATGTTCCAGTTGTTCAACCAGCCAATGATATCTCCAAATCATTGGACATCCTTAGCTAACAGAGAAACCTGGTGTGTTGCTCCCTTGAATACCCATTCATCCCTGTTACCATGACTGTGATTGATGGTGAGGTCAATGATGCCAACAGGTGGATGCCAGTCATCTGAATGAAGTTACCATCTGTCATGAGCTATTGGGTGGTGCAATGAGGATACTGACTTACCAACACCAGTTTCTCATCAAAAATGACAAGGTCTTTGGATTTGTTGAGAGGTTTCTTGGGGGGGGGGGCAGGCTTCTTGACAGGTTCTTTCACCTTGCTGAAACCAAGATGAGGGGGGGGAGGTCCCAGGTTCATGACTGCTGGATCCTCCCAGAACTCCAACAGAGGATGAGGATGAGGAGGAGGAGGCATAGGGAACTGGTAGCTATCCCAGCCCCCCTTGTCAAAAATGAGAGGTCTCCAATCTTCCAGCACCGGCAGCAGTATGCAGTTTGGATTGTCATCATTGCAAGTGCTGGGATCAGAGGGGTGGTAAGGCAAACCCCTACAAAGCAGAGGCCAAAAGGCTTGCTGTGGTGGAGGTGGTGGTGGAGATGGAGGGGAGGTGGTGTTGGAGTGTGAGGTGATCTTGGAAGCATGGGGATGGGACTGGGAGTGCAGTACAAGCTGAGGGAGTCAATTGGTGACACTGGGCATCGAGTTGGGAATGCAGGAGTAGTGCTGACAGGAGGGGGGAGGGGAGGGGCAGCATTCCCAGACAGAGAGGTTCATTCTGGTTCCCCTTGCTCCATGATGGCAGCCACCTGAGGGGGAGATGGTGTTGGAGGGCAAGGCAATCTTGAAAGGATAGGGACAGGACTGGGAGTGCGGTACGAGCTGAGGGAGTCATTTGGTGACACTGGGCATCAAGTCAGGAATGCAGAAGTAGCACTGATGGGAGGAGGGGGGAGGGGAGGGGCAGCATTCCCAAACACAGAGGTTTGTTCTGGTCCCTCCTGCTCCATGACAGCAGCCACCTTGATGTCCATGACAGTGTCCTGCTCCGGGGAGTCCTCTTGCTCCAGGAAGATGTCCTCCTCCTCCCACAACTCCTTCTCCTGCCATTCCTGTTCCTGCTCCTGCTGCAGCTTCTCCTGCTGCAGCTGCAGGGATTCCTGCAGCTGTTGCCAGATCTGCCAGCTATCCCACTCCCGCAGTCGCTGCTGCTGCTGCTCCTTCTGCCTCTGTTGCACTTCCTCCAGCTGCTGTGTCATCTGTTCCAGCTCTGCCTTCATCTCCTCTGTCTCCAACACCACCTCCATGGGCTCATCCATCTCTCTGCAGAGGTCTTTGTGTTGCAATATCATGCTCTTCCTGTTGGCAACAGAATGAGCATGATTAAGAGGCACTGCAGCTACAGACTCACATATGACATGGTGAAGGGAGGGCAGTCGTGCTTTCATTGTGATGTTGGAAGCAGGAGAGGGGTAGCAGACATAGTGACACCTTCATGAGGGCAAAGCAGAATGACTTCAGGTACAGTCACACCTGTGATGGCTGTGGGGTGAGGGCAAGGCTGAGTGGCTTTGGCTACGGTATCACCTGCAATGGCTGTAGGGAGAAGGTGACCTGGATTATGGAGGATGATCTCTACATCTGCAAGGAGCTGGTGATCTCTCCCTCTGATACTGGTTTGGAGGTGAATATCTTGACCAGTTTGATTGTCATGGAGACCAGTGATGGCAACCCACTGGGTGCATCTTCTTCTGCATCACAGAGCTTATGGGATTGTGAAGTCAAAGGGGAAGGTAGTTGAAGCCATCTGGCAATGGGTAGGCTATCTCCCATAGTTGCCCATGAGGCCACCAACCTTTATCCAGAACAAAATTTGTGCTGAACTCAGATGTTTGGTGATTCTTTGTGGGAGAGGGTGGGGGAAATGATGCAGGCAAATGGCTTAAGTTTGCATTTGGGAAAGGCAGAGGGGGCAGGTGCTCTGGGTCTGTTGTCCCAGTCATTGTCAAGGACTTTTCGTTGCCAAAGTGCCATGCCCAGCATGCCTTCCCATTTGTGAACAGCTACTGCCCACAGAGAGGATGAGCAGCATACTTGTCATTCAGCTGCCATTTGTTCCAGAATAGGGAACACTGCTAGCAGGTCAGGCAGGGAAGACTTGGCTTCCACACAGTGCTGGAAGGCATCATACATCATGGACAGTGCGGATGCTTGTCTCTCAGGCACCATGCAGGATTCGAGATAGGTTATGCCTGCAAAGAGGTTAGTAGTGTTTATGGTCAGAAGGTAGATGTATGTGCACCTTTCTGGAAGATGAACTCCCTGCAGTGCATCTGCCAACAGAGAAGGACCTCCCATTGTTTGTACACAGTTAGGATATGGTCCTCCAATGCATTGTTGAAGTCCTCCTGCCTTTGACTTCTGGCATATGATGGTGGGCAACACTTCTTGAAGGTTGTGTTGAGCAAAGGCTTAGTCAGGTCCGGTCATGGGATTAGGTCAATGTTGAGCTGGGTGAGTAAATAGTCGACGCTCTCTGGGATGACAAACCAGTCTGTGTTATTGATGGTAGACATAGTCAAGGAAAGGTATTGTAGGTTCTTGTAGAGAGGGAGGGGGAGCATGGTGAGTGAACACCATAATTGGTAGTTCACTTGAGAGGGGTATGACACTTGTTTTCTTCATGCACATATGGCTACTTAGAGCACCTGAGTAGTGCTCACAGGGGAGGGGAGGGGAAGCAAAACAGCATTGACATTGTTGAGGGAGAAGATGATGAGGAGATGATGAAGAGAGGAGAGGAGAGGAGAGGAGGATGATGATGATGATGACAAGGAGAAGGAGGTGGTGGTGGTGGCAAGGATGAGGTGGTGGTGGCAAGGAGGTGGTGGTGAGAAAATGGTGACTCACAGGCCATGGGAGCAAAGATCATGTGATCACAGGAGCAAATTATCACGTGCATGGGAGCAATAGATGTGGCTTTTAAGACCAAAAAGCCACATCATCTTTTGCTTCTGTGTACACATGATTTTTGCTCCCATGTGCCCTCATGAGCTTTGCTCCAGTGGCCTGTGAGTCACCATTTTCTCACCACCACCTCCTTGCCACCACCACCTCATCCTTGCCACCACCACCTCATCCTTGCCACCACCACCTCATCCTTGTCATTGTTAGGGCAACACAGGCTGACTAAGTCTGCTCACCTAAGAGT